TGACTCCCAAGGTGATTCATATGTTCAGTCTTCTTTCAGTGAGCCCAATTAAGAGGTCTTACTGTTCTTGGATCTGGCTTCATCCCCTCTCCAACCATTGCAACTGCCCACAGGTGTTTGCCTTCCACGTCTTATCCATTCATACCTCATTCATTCAACAGGACAATTAAGTAAAAGGGGAGAGATCTATTTTGATACTAAGACATTTTCTTTGCTTTACTTATTTTTAGGGACTACCAAGATTTAATACCAAAAACTTAATACAGAGCATATGCAGTTATTCATCTATGGTACCTTCTTCTGGGTTTTTTTTTTTAATGCTCTCCCATTCACCTTCAAAAAGGGACCTTCCAAAAGCAGGTGCTTGCTGCTTACACCCAAGGCATCCATAGGGCCAACTTTCTTTCAATGAACCCACTTCACAGGTCCCATTGTTCTTGAATCTGGCTTCCACCTTTCTCCAACCATTGCAAGTGCCCAGAGATGCTTGTCATTCATGCCTTATCCATTCACACCTCATTCACTCAACAGGACAATCAGTTTAGCAAAGGAGCAGGAGGGGGTATAAGACATACAAGGTTTCTATGTAAAAAGGCTTAATACAAAGTTTCTATGTTCTGTAAAAGTAAACAAAGTTTCTATAAAAGGACATAAAACAGCAAACTAAAGACTTATTACAAAACTAAAGGGACTTGATACAAAGTTAAAATTTTAAAAAATGAGAAAATGATTAATACAGAGATTAATGAGATTCACCTATAGTTGCATTGGTATGGAGGGGGCTAAGGTCCCTGCTCTGGAGAAGGGGTGTTGTATTCGAATGGGGGGTATTGGGGTTACTTTTTTTTTAAATAAAAGATACTTTATAACAAAAGGAAAAATGTAAAAAACAATAAATTGGTAGCAGTTTAAAGACTAACAAACATGTAGATCAGGCATGTCAAACTTGAAGCCCTCAGAGCCACACAAATGAAAACTAATAGCTTTCAGGGACACCAAAGAGAATGTACTTCTATAGGACAGTTGTAATTATTTATTATTATAGCTTATGTTTTAGGCATATTTTATAATATTTTTCAAGTCTGTGTGACAGTGTGCGTGGAGAGAGGCAGGCCTTCATGTGCTAACTCTTAGCCATCACCTAGTACCTGCCTCCTGACAATCTCAAATCTCTTTACAAATTCTATTTTAAAATTGAGGCAACAGGCACAAAGTGACTTGTTTATGGGTCACCCAGAGAGGAACAGAGCCGGGAACAAAATCCAGAGCTCTCTACTCTCAGTCGTGTTCTCTGACTGCTAGACAAACCTAGTTTGCTTAGGAAGTCAGCTATAAAGGACAGAGAACTTCATAAATTAAAACCAACAGTTTAAACTGCACTTTGGAGCAGACTGCAACCAGAGCCAGTCCACTATCACCGGGGTAGCATGCTTGTGCCAACCCCCAGAGCTATGCAGGCAGGCCCCCGCCTTCGGCTATATAAAAACTCTGTGTCAGAGAAGGGTGTGCTTAGATCCACTGTCAGCATGCCCATGCAGGCTTCCCATACCACAGTCCTGTCCCCAGTGCAATGACCCAGACCTGGAAAGACCATTTCTCCAGAAGTAAGAGTTTAGTTTCCATGTCATGAAGCAAGGTCTAGGAGTTCAGAGATCTGGGCTCCAGGTAAAAAAGGGCTCTCGTAGCTACAAAACTTTTATCCAAGGACTTATGAGAGAGACTCCATAGGTCAATAGCAGTTGTCAGTCAGTTTTGCCAATACCAAGCCTCCAAAAATCATGCATCATGCCCTTCCCTTCCCCATCCCCAAAATTAATGAGATGTTCCTATTAATTCTAGTCCTCTAGTCTTCTGTCATATGCAGAGCACAGCTGACATATTAGGCAAGATCTAACAACCAGTTAATTCTGATATTCCTCTGGCAGCAGGTAGGTTTATGCTACCCAAGAAAGTGGGATTTCAAGTCCATCAGATAAGGTCTGTGTTGTTCAAAATAAAAAGGCATGATACAGGTAGTGATCTGGTATTTTTTCTTTTTATAAAGAGAATATGCATATCCCAAATGCCACTCCATATTATTTTAAACACCTTACTCCCACTTGTCAAGGTGGCTTTACTGCACTAATAGGTCAGCCCCTATCATTGCCATAGTTAGTGCCGCAGCTGTAGCATTTCAAGTGTAGACAAGCTCTTACAATAACTGAGGAATCCTTTTCCTTCTCAACGATCAATAGGGTGTGTAAAGGCACCCGGCCAATCTAAGTTGATTCTTTTGATTCCCCATATCCCTCTCCTTTCAGAACCTGACTCTCTTTGTGCTGGCCCCAGATAGACAAGCCACTGAAACAGGGAATAAAGGAACTAATTACAATATGTTATAGAATTCTAATGTAGCAAAAATGGTGCGTGGGAGGAAGGAAATTTGAGGGTACCAATTAAACAAAGAACTTTCTTAGCATGCCCAGGGAGCAGCCCAATTCCACAAATCCACAAAAACCTGCTACCTGAACCTCTGAGAAACAAAAAAAGGAAACATGGTTAATAGCTCAGTAGCACTTAGGAGCCCCTGTCATGGACTAGGGCCCTATTGTTCTAGGCACTGTACAAATAGTAATCCAAAGGTTGCCCCTGCCCCAAAGAGCATAAGAGAACCCTCCACTCTTCATCAACTGAACTTTGTGTAATCTCCAGTTATCTCTTCTTTATAACAATCTGAGGCATTTTAATTACATATTCAGTTATTGAAGTATCTAAATTTGTATGATTATAACATTGATTAAAGACAGGGGAAATGTATTCTCATGCTCCTTTTATAAACATACTCTAATCCCAACAAAGACTGCTGTATTAGAAATGGAACACACATTTTAATATAGGAGCTCTCATCGTCATCTACATTTTATTTTACTAGATTTCTTAAATAAGAAAATAGTAAAGGCATACAGCTGAGCCTGTAAGAGTTCTACTCTCTCTCTCTCTCTCTCTCATTTGGATTCTCTCTTTGCTAAAGAATTCTACTGGGCTTACGTATTCATTATTTAGATCCATCTTGATTTTCTGAAAGACCCAACAATGGCATTGCTTCCTCTTGATTACTGAAAAAATTAATTTGATTCCTGTAGCTGGCTACAGTCTTGCAGTATACCCATGAGCAACAGATGTACCTTCTCTCTCTCCCCCTCCTTTCTTTGCAGAAATACACAGCGTTCATTGAGTGGCAGAACACACATCGTGAAATAGCTTTTTTCCTTCCCTGGTAAACTGAATTCATCTCCTGAGTTAATTTGGTGATCTTTTCTTTGTCTTGAAATTTTAAAATCCCCTCCTCCCCACCCCTCAAAAAAAAAAAAAAAAAAAAAAAAAAAAAAAAAAAGCAGCAATGATAATTTTATCCCCAAAGGGCTTGGAAGAAGTATTTCAGTGAATTCTTTTTGGCCCAATTCAGGAAAGCGCTTAGGCTTGTCATTAACTTTAATCACAGGGTTAACCACTTTGCTGAGTCAGTTTCTATTTCAGTATCAGGCTTAGAGAGCTCTATGGCAATATATAAAGTTGTTTGTACTTCCTCTCCTTCTTGAGGACCCTTCGACTAAAGTTGGTATCTTTTCTCTCCATCCCCCTGATATTCCATTTCTTCCTGGACCCTGTCTGCTGTTTAATATTTCCACTTGGACTACAGATTTCTTTGTTCAAGGTCAATGTTCCACTTCCTGTGCTTGAGATGGCATAGGACGACTATGCTGGAAGGGCATCTGTGGGTGTGGGTGTTTTTCTAGGTCCCACTTGCAAGTTGGAGGGCTGTGTTACAAAGCATGTGAGTTAAGTCACTGTGAAAAAAAGCTAATTTAAAGCAAAGTGAGATTAGTACGGTCTTTCTGCCTGAGAAAGCAGCCTGATTTCTCTCCATATCTTTTTGGGTTCCTGAGTGTTAACATTCTGAATTCTAAGCAGCAGCTATGTTGCAACATTCCAACAACAGTATTTATGTTTCTGTCTAAATTCTCTATGTCTAAACCATGAATACAATACTCCGTTTTCCTACATGCCAACATGACAGTAGATAGTGTTTCTCTCCCCCATAAGAAAACACATGTTTCTGCATTTCTTTCCATATGTTTAGTATTGATGATCTGCACTGGCCTTCCAAATCCTTGCTTGAGATCTGTATGGGTTGCATGAGGCTGATTCCACACTGGAGCAATCTGTTGATCCTCAAAGACTAGCAATTTTGTCTTTGGTTTTCCTCCTAGGTCCCAAAAGCGTAGTAAAAAATCCACATCCCTCTATCATTTGCAGCAAGGTATTCAAAGTGAAGGTAACCAGAGCCATTCCATCTTGCATGGTTCAGGGAAGCAGTCCGCCCCAAGCCCCATGCTTTAGGGGGCCCTGTGTGGCCTAGGGGGCTGTGAGTGACTACTGGAGGGGAGGCTGGTGCTGGGAGCAGGCTCCAGGCCTCCCCCCCACAGCCACCAGCGGTGGCAAGAGCCACAGAAAAGCAGAGCAACTCAGACCCAGCCTACTGCGCTCTGATATCTCCTAGCCTGGTTGTTCTGCTCCCCTGAGTAACATGGGTGGGTTCTGGTGGAGCACAGCAGCCTGGATCCAGGTTGCTCTGCTTCCTGCCATCCTGGTGAGTCCGGGAGGGAATCTAATCCCTGATGCTGGTGCCAGGCCCCCTAGTAACCTCTCAGATTACATCACTTGGGGTAGGGGGCAAAACAGGGGCAGGAAGAGTCAGGGTGGGGGAGGAATGGCCTTTTGGGAATGGCCCTGCTGGTAACAAGCCAGGCCGGAATGGGTTTGTCAGTGTATTGCATGGATCAGCCCGTTTAGTATGCCACAAAGCAGAAGTGAAAAAGGATTTGTGCAATGGCCCTGTATTTTCTAACCTTAAACAGGACTGCGTAGCACCTGTCAAATGGTTAAATAAATACTCTCTCTTTCAGGCATTTTACAAGTGTAAAATCAGGCATCTGCTTTCTGACATAGGAGAAGCATTTATCACATGCGGCTAGAGCCATTGTACAGCAACTAGACTACACTGTATTTCCAGCGTGGGCATCCTCTGTTTGATTCACTCTCTCTCTCAAGCAACTGATAAACTCAGAGAGCATGAAGAAGCTAGACAAGCTGGATGGGAGCCTAACAAATGAAGAGGATCGTGTTCTCAAACTGTAAATAGCATTGAAGGATTTGTTCACCATTGATGCAGATCTCGGGTGGACACTTTGCCGTAGTTCTGAAAGGAATAAATAATGATTAGGGACTGATCATGGAGAGCAGGCACTTTATTTTAGACAGCTTCTTGTTATTCATTTTGTACCACACCTGGGTGTGGAAGTAACCTTGAAGCGGATGGCTGCTCAGACTAGTAGAAGATGTGAGTGCTGCAGAGGCAACACACTCCATCTCCTGGAGAAAGCTCATCTGCGATATGCTAGTTTGCAACCCTCTTGCAGCAGAGGTGCTTGCAACCCGCTAAATTACAGAAGGAAGTTGCTGGGATCTATTGTGTTAATTTTGATTGAATAAATGGGCCCCGAGAATCACAGGTGTTAACGTGACTTTGTCATTGTACAACACTCTCATGGTAGGGCTGGGAAGGGACAGCACTTCCTCTCTCCCTGTATGGCAGCTACACTCAAAAGGTGATCAGACCCATCTCAACAAACCTTCTCCGGTTGCAGGAAGCTCCAATGTTGCTGCCTTCAGAGCCCAGTTTGATTTTTGGATTTAACTTATTATTTGTAATAATGAAACATTTCCATAAAATCTCCAAATTTTGGACACCTAATACACCAGAGAGGGCAACATATCAAGTGAGGAGGTTTCAAGAAAATGAAGAAGCACTTAATGATTTCCAGTACCTCCTATGAATCCAGGCTGGGCAGGGCAGATTTCACATAAAGATACCATTTTTTTTTCAGACACTCAATCTTGATATAGAAAGGGGCTCAATGTTTTCTTTCTTCTCAGGTGAAAGTGGAAGATCACACCACATAGTTACAGCTGTGCCACTATTGTGTCCCTAGTGCAGACATGCCTGTGGTGTCCCGCAACAGCTGGATTGCAGAGTGATTTGCATGCATCTTCAACACACCTCTCCCTGGAGACAGGTTGCACAAGGAACTGATGCAGCAGTGGCTTGATGACTCTAGGATTGGTGGAGATACCCCTTGCACAAGGGGATGATTAGGTGCCGTCAATGGAGCAGCAAAAGGTGTGGGTTATAAAACAGAAACTTGGTTCCTGGTATATACAGTAGAAACTCTAGAAAGCACCATATGGCAGACAACAAAGCTCCAGGGATGCAATGGCTTTATTTTCTTCAGGTTGTTAGTATCATAGGATTTCACAGAACAATAGAACTGAAAAGGGACCTTGAAAGGTCATCTAGTTCAGTCACCTGGACTCATGGTAGAGATAAGTATTATCCTGACCATGCCAGACAGGTATTTGTCTAGTCTTCTCTTCAAAAACCTCCAGTTACAGAGATTCCACAACCTCCCAAGGTAATTTATTCTAGTGTTTAAGTACAATGGCGGGAAACTTTTTCTAACATCCAACACAAACCACCCTTACTGCAATTTAAGCCCATTGCTTTTTGTCCTATCCTCAGAGGTTTAACAAGAACAACTCTTCTCCCTCCTTCTTGTGACAACTTTTATATACTTGAAAACTGTTATGTCCCCTTTCAGACTTCTTTACTCCAGACTAAACAAAGCCAATTTTTTTCAGTCTTCCCAGATAGGCCATTTTTTTAGACCTTTAATTATTTTGTTGTTCTTTTCTCGACTTTCTCCAATTTGCCCACATCTTTCCTGAAATGTGGCAACCAGAACATGACACAATACTCCCGTTGAGGACTACTCAATGCAGAGTAGAGCAGAAGAATTACTTCTCATGTCTTGCTTACAAAATTCCTGCTAATACATCCCAGAATATTTGGGTTTTTTTGCAGTAGTGTTACACTGCTGACTCGTATTTAGTTTGTGAACCATGACGACCCTCAGATCTCTTTCTGCAGTACTCCTTTCTGGGCAGTCCATTCCCTATTTTATATGTGTACAACTGATTGTCCCTTCGTAAGTGGAGTATTTTGCATTTGTCCTTATCAGGAGCAGCCCAGGGTCGGCTGCAGCAGCTGGTGCCCTAGGCAGGGCAGCGCAATCGGCGCCCCTGTCTGCACGGCCGTCAGTGGCCGTGACGTCATCACGGGGCGCCCGGGCCAGCGGAGCCCTAGGCAGCTGCCTAGCTCACCTAGACTCACGGGCCGCCCCTGGTCCTTACTGAGTTTCATCCTATTTATTTCAGACCATTTCTCCAGTTTGTCCAATCTTTGGATATTGACTGTGCATTAAAATGGTGTCAGGAGCAATGAGGGGGATGGTTTTGCAGGTCCAGAAGAACAGAAAATGGAAAGAGGAAGGAAGAGATTTGAGATACTTTGAAATTTGAATATATATAAAGATTAAATATAACCTGGTTTCAAAATATAATTGGATTCATATTAAAGTCAATACCAGTTTTGCACTCACCATGATTACAATTCAAAGATTTGTTCCAATATATCTGCAGGTTGCTCCTGATTTCTTTTACCTCGTTATAGATCAACAGCAACATAATTGGAAGCGTTAACTTCAAGAACCCCAAGAAAAAGGTCTGCATCCTGCAGTGAACAGTTTGGTGCTTAAAAAGAATATTAAGTACAAACATGGGACACTCATGTATAACAGCTCTCACTCCTAGATCAAAGAGCGAGTCACACTGCAGAAGAGTTTCAGACCCAAATATCGCTGTTTACATTTCAGGGAAAATTTAATAGGATTTGTCAAAGGACCTTCTGAAGAAAGGATAATAGCATGCAAGTGACAATGAAGAGATCGATTCGACTGAATCCTGTTGACACTAAATAGTTTTAAAGGAAATACTTCGGTGCTGTGTTGTCTGAAATCTATTGTACTGGATGATTCAAGGGATAGATGGAATATAGAGCCTTTTCTCTGACATTTCTGAAGAGTGCAATTCACAGCATGAACAGCTGTGTAACAAATTTCAGTTTGTAGTAATTCCCAGTTTAGGATACCGAGGTCAAGCACAGAGGCCCAAAGCATGCTCTGATGCTTCTGGTTTTGAGAGATCACTTTTGGTTTCTTTTGTTATTTAATTGAGAGCTGTTAGAAAGCTGCTCAGAGGTTTTGAAAGTCAGTAGACTTGGCAGAGCTGGATTAGTGGACAGTGCAAATAAGGCTGACTATGATACATTTTATTTATTCCATGCACATGAGAGCACTTGACTGTATATGGGGCACAGCAAGTAGGGATGGGGGAGGGTGCTGTAGCACTGCCAGGTTTTACACCTGGCTTCCCTCAGTCCAGGAGCTGGCTCTACCTCCAGCTCCACCAGTCCCCAGATCTGGCCTCTGGGGGCTCCTCTGGGATCCCACTGGCCCTGCCACCCCTCAAGATCCCACCACCTGTTGCTACCACACACTCTGCTGCACACCATCTCTGGGGTCCAGGCCACAGCCCTGGAAGCTCTGCTGCCACTCTGGGTCCCATTGCTGGCCTAAGGCTCGACTCCTGACCTTGGCCTGGGACTCTGCAGCCTCTTCCAACTGTGGCTAGTGTTGCCAACTCTCCCATAACCGATGCACTTTGCAGCAACAGTGGCCAGACTGCCCAATCTGGGAGAGCTGGCAATTCTACGTGAGGCCCCAGCCTGGGGTTATGAGGCAAACAGCCTGGGTAGGGGGGAGGAACACACAGCTCAGCACTCTTGTCCCTAAAAATAGTTCAAGCATCTCTGTATGGGGATATAAGCACTCCTTAGGGATTAGCCACACAGCTATTGTGCTGCTTTGGCACATGTGAATAAACTGTGTATGTTTAAAATGTTTTTTTTAGACTAGTGTAATCCGGCAGCGAATATAAGGTCTAATCTTGTACTTCTGTGTGTTTAATCTTTATCATTCATTATTGGGAATGGAGCTCCTAACGTAATGTTTTGTCCAACTAGTGTTAATGATTTGGGGAAATGCCTCTATCTATGGACAATACCCTTCTGTCACATCCAAAGTGACACCAAATGACTTGGAAACCAGCAACATACCAGCTTCCAGTTCAACTATAAGGGAATTTCAGTTAATATAAAGAACTGCTTTCATAATTAAGTGTCCAAAATGGACAAACTAATTAAACAAATGGTTTGTTTTTTCTAGTGTGTGACTTCATGAAACATTTAAAAACCTACCCCCAAATCCCAGCAAAAATTCTATTAAAAAAGTTAGAGCCTTAATGACTCTCCCCAAACACAAAAATTGTTCTCAAGAAATAGCTAAGACTGAACGTTTGTTTCAATGGAATCCAGTCGATATACACCCAGAAAGCACACTATTTTAAACAAGAGTTCTACACCTTAAAAACATCTGGAAATAACTAATAAAGGAATCTCAATTAGGTCATCCATTGCAAATAACCCTTGATCACATGCTTCATCCCACCTGACTAAATGTTAATCTTCTGTTTTATTCTAAAAATATAGCAATGAATGTAGAAAGCTGAACCAGCATGACAAAAATCAGTTTAGATGAAGGACTAGTGATCCAGGCTACATTAAGTTACTCCAGCATTCTGTTTGCCCTCACAGTATGATCTCTAGGTGGAGAAGAATAATATTTGGAGTAAAATTGCAGTGACCATCTACTTGATCTTGCAGGTCTGAATAAGTGTATGTACCTCCTTCAAGTTTTTATTTTAACTATACTGCGTTCCAACTAAAATAAGAAAGTTTCCAGTGAGTTACACTACAGCAGTGCTCTCCAACCTTTTTACACCTAAGATCACTTTTTAAATGTCAGGACAAGCCAAGATCTACCCCATCCCTTCCCCAAAACCCCACCCCTTCCTTGAGGCTCTGCCCTCTCTGTTTGCCTTCTCTCCATCACTTGCTATCCCCAGGCCTTACATACACTCAGGATACGGCTACACTGCCACTTTTTTTTGGCAGTGAAAAAAAGAAAGAAGAAATGTTCCTGACATTTGGCCATGTAGATTGGGCTAATTGTCAGAAAACCCCCTTCTTTTGGAAGCCCCCTCATTCCTTCTGGAACGAGGAATACAGGGGCTGCCAGAAGGTTCCTTGAGGTCCCATCCTCTCCATCACTTGCTGGCCACAGCCCTTACTCACTCTCACTGGGTTGAGACAGGAGGTGCAAGCTCTGGAGTAGGAATGAGGGATTTAGGTATGGGAAGGAGTGAGAGGTGCAAACTCTGGGAGGAATTTGGATGGAGGAGGATGTGGAGAAGGGGATGCTGGCTCAGGGAGGGGGCTCCAGCCTGGGAAGTGCTGGGCTCAGGTGGAGGGTTGGGGTGCTGAGCAAGCTACAGGCTTGTGGATGTGAGGGTGCAGGAGTTTGGGTTAGGGGTGTGCGGGGCTCAGGACAGATTGATTGGGAGTTTGATGGGCTCAGGACAGAGATTTGCAGTGTGTGGATGGTGCAGGAGTGTTGTGGCAGAAGACTGGGGGTGTGGGGGGTGCAGGAGTTTGGGGATGTGAGAGGCTCAGGACAGGGGGTTCCAATGTATGATAGGCTCAGACTTGGAGTCAGGGTGGAGGGGTACAGGAGTGTTTTGATGCTGTGGCCAGATGAGGACTTTGCCCCAATTGGGGGCTTGTTGGCCAGGCTGCATTTTTAAATAAAATATTATGTCAAACACAAAAGGTTTCAGCATTGTCTTTATTTATGAGAAGGGCAGGTAACCTGTTTTGAGTCAGGGGTCACTGGCCCACAGAAAAGTCAGTCAGGGCCATGCAAGTAAGATACAAAAACACAACCCCTCCAAACTCCTCAAACCTCATTAATGTGGCCCCAACTGTACTTGTGGGTGCTGGAACAGAGTTCTGGGGCAGGGTGCTTGTGGCTGCTGGGACATGGTGCCAATGCATGCTGGGGCAGAAGACAGGGTGCTGGTGTGTGCTGGGGTAGGGTACTTGGGGGTCTGAGTTGGGGGTAGGGGACAGGGACCGATACCTGGGGATCCTGCAGCTGCACGCCAAGGCCTAGGAAGTGCGTGGGTTGCTTCTGTCTCCCAAACAGCGGCGCGATACCTGAAATGCTGGTACGTCATATGCCTGATGCCTTCCTGTGCTGGGGGAGGGGGAGTCCTGGACAGCACCAGCCTCAACCGCCGGGACAGTGCGCGCCTTGCTACTCTGCTCCCCACAGCAGTGCGCACCGCCCGAGCAGCTGGAGTCAGCACAGTCCCAGATCCCCACCCTCTCCCCCATGCACAGGAAGGCAGCACGGGAACGAAGTCCCCAGCCTGTGATGGACTGGAATTTTAGGTACTGCGCCCGCTGTTGGGGCAGGGGGGAGAGCAGCCTGCACCCTTCCGGGACCTGGTGAACGGCTGCAGAACTTCCCCCTAACCCTACAGGAAGCCCATGCTACCTCCATGGTCCCTGAAGGTAGCATCAGCACGGCCCGCATCTTGGGGACCCCCTGTCCTGAGCCTCTCCCATCTTACAATTCTGATTATTGTAACAAGTATAATCATCAAGCATGAAGGGTCAGTATGCCAAAACCAGAAGTGAAATGCACGAGGAAAAAAATGAAATAGGATTGCAAAGAAGAAGAGTTTGCTATAAGGTAGATTATACATAAAGATCAGGCCAACCCCAGAACTAAAGCTTAGAGGAATTCTTGAAAAGATCTAGAGAGGAATTAAATTGTGTTTCCAACTTTACCTACCAGTTACTTCAGTCAGAGAATTTCACACAAGAATACATCTAACCTTCACAGGATAAGATGCCACTGACTGAAGCTGTCCAAATTTGTCATTTTCCCTAGTAAGTATGGCGTTCTTGGCAGGTAGCACATATTTACCAAATTAAAATTAAATACACGTGAAAGAAATATGCAGCATGAAGAAAATTTAAAAATATTTGTGACTGCATGGAAGTGGATTCATCCAATTGAGATTGGACAATGAAGAGATTCGAGATGTA